CGTGCTCGCAAGACGCCTCCAAGACGCCCCAATACGTATCCAACCACCTGCGAAAAGAGAACAACGAGATCCAAATCGTCCAAGTCCGATGGGAAAACGTACATGTTTACCTTGTGAGACAGTTCGGCCATCACGACGTTGCCGACGGTCCCAGAGGCCCCCGAGACAGCGTCAAGACGGCTCAAGAAGCTCCCAAGACGACCCCGAAACGGCCCAAGAGGGCGCCAAGACGGCCCAAGAAGCGGCCAAGCCGGCCCAAGAGGGCTCCAAGACGGCCCCAGGAGACCCAAGAGGGGGAGCCCGAACCGAAAAATCCCAGCCTTTCCCCTCACGAGGTTCTCAAGAGGCTCCAAGAAGCCCCCAAAGGCCCCAACAGGCCCCCAAGAAGCCCCCAGGAGGCCCCAGAAGGCCCCCAAGAGCCCGAAAGGAGCCCCAAGAGGCCCGAAAACGACCCCCAAGAGGCTTCCCCAGGTCCCTTGCTCAATCCCCTGGGCCTCAGTCCTCAAGCCTGAGGATCATTAATGGGCCCGGACCCCAAGCTCTCAAATCTCTCGGGGCTCCCCGCGCGCCCTCTGGAGCCCCCAGAATGTTCCCGCATGTCATCGAGCCCCAGAGAGGCCCAAGACTGGCCAACAGGGCCCCAAAGGCCCTCAAGACGGCCCAAGAAAGCCCCGAATCACCGAACGATCGGTCCAAGACGCCCAAGATGGCCACAAGACGGTCCGAGAAGCTTTCGAGACGCCCCAAGAGCTCCACGAGCCTTCCCAAGAGGGCCCCGAGAGGCAAAATTAATTCGTTTCCTCTGAATTATGTGTATGATAAACGTCACCACCACCACTATTCGTAATCAACATCCACACCACCATCGCCATGGTCAGCGTCATCATCATCATCATCATCATCATCATCATCATCATCATCATCATCATCATCATCATCATCATCATCATCATCACCATCACCATCACCATCACCATCACCATCACCATCTCCATCACCATATCACCATCACCATCACCATCTCCATCACCATCACCATCACCACCATCAGCATCAGAATCAGCTTAGTCATCATTATCCACAACAACATCACCATCAGCAACATCATCATCAGAATTAGCATCATCATCAGCATCAGCATCAGCATCAGCATCAGCATCAGCATCAGAATCATCATCATCAGCATCATTATCACCACCATCATCATCATCATCATCATCATCATCATCATCATCATCATCATCATCATCAGCATCATCATCCTTATCCGGAGCGCCCCGGATCGGCGGCACTGGCTGGAGGCCAGCACAATTGCAAACTTTTGGCAATGTCAGATCTCCGGGGAGGAGGAGGAGGAGGAGGAGCAGGCGGAGGTGGAGAAGAAGTGGGGGAGGAGGAGGAGGAGGAGGAGGAGGAGGAGGAGGAGGAGGAGGAGGAGGAGGAGGAGGAGGAGGAGGAGGAGGAGGAAGAGTAATATGTAGGAGGAGGAGGAGGAGGAGGGTGGAGGAGGAGGAGGAGTAAGGAGAAGGAGGAGGAAGAGGAGGAGGAGGAGGGTGAGGAAAGCCATAAAAGTGAGGAGGAGGAAGAGGAGGAGGAGAATGAGGAGGAGGAGAAGGCGGAGGCGGAGGATTGCCAATTGCACGATCAGAACGGGGTGGTGCCCCGCGGGGCCGTGACCGCCCCGCCGCGAGCGTCGCCACCCCGAAGAGCCTGCGGGTTTTGTGCTGGTGGGGCCAGTGGGGTGCATTCAGCCCCGAAGAGCCTGCGGGCCTCCTCCTCTTCATCCTCCTCCTCCTGCTCATGATCCTCCATGCCTTTCCCTTATACATTACTCCTACATGTCGCACCCCGAGTTCGGTCGAAAGGGCGGGCCCGGTGTTTGGCCTGAGACTTCCTCGCCACTTGTGACCCTGAAGCTTAGAAACTGGCAACAGCTTCATAGATGGAGCGCGGGTCGCTTCAATAATATGGCTCTCGATTTAGCGCCGCGCACATTCGTTGCAGCAACTTGCAAGAGCTTCGCGGATTGAGGGCGGGTCGTTGTCAAATTGTGGCTCTCGCATTAGCGCCGCGCCCATTCCTCTTCAAAAGCTGCAACAATTTCACGGACTCCCATTGTCAACGTATCAGGAAAGGCGTTTTGGAAAGATTTAGGATTATGACGGTGCAACAGTTACGTTGATTAGCGGTGTTGAAGTCCCAGGAATGGCGCTCTGGCACGATTCAGGATCGTCAAGACGCAACAGTCAGGTTCATCTGTGACGCTGGAGTCCCGAGAATAATGTGTTGACATGCTTCAGGGTCTTTAAACGGTTGTCTTCCAACGAGGCAGTTCCCTTAGTGGCAAAGATCCCTTGTAGAGGCATATGAAAAGGGAGCTTGGAGGGTTTACTCCAAAGCGGTTGATGAATCTTGGGTTTACACTGGTCCTCCTCCTCCACCTCCTCCTCCTCCTCTTCCTCCTCCTCCTCCTCCTCCTGCTCCTCTTCCTCCTCCTCCT